CGTTGGAGAGATAAGAAATGAAGCCTTTGAAAAAATGGGGCTATACCTCGAGCAACCGAAGTGTTTTTATCGGCGTGCTCTCATTAGTACAATTTCAAACATTAATATCTCAATTATACGAATATCACTAAACGATAAAAGACTTTTATGTTTATTTCGATCCCATCTACCTTCCTGTGGACGGTTGAAAAAATCTCGCAGGACACTCTGTATATACAATACACTACTCAACAAAAAATAGGGAACACTTTAGAACGCTCAAAATTACTCAATATTCAGAACATTGTAACTTGGTGAAAAATTATTGCAGACAAAAAATCAAAAAAGCATTTAAAAGCTTAAAATCTCTACTTTTGAAATCGACAATTGACATTTCAATTTGACTGATTCTTTACGGAGATATACGGACACAAATAGATCCTCGTCCAAAAATTTTTTACAAACTTTATGAAGATCTATGACGTGAAGTAAAATTCACACAAAAATGCGGTTTACGGCAATCGAAAGAGTGAATCTTTACCTTCAATTTTCTTTTTTATTGAGTGCTGTACGATTTTTTTTCACCGAGATATTGAACGTTAAAGCAAAAACGATCACTTTTGTTTCAACATTCGATAATTCGATGAAGAAAAATCGTACCGCACTCAATAAGAAAGCAAATTAAAAATAAAGATTTATTCTTTCGACTGTAATATCACTGTCATAAACCACATTTTTGTATAAATTTTACTTCACGCCATAGATCTTCGTAAAGTTTGTAAAAAATTTTCAGATTTGACGGGGATTCATTTGTGTCCGTATATCTCCGTAAAGAATCAATCATATTGAAATATCAATATTACCGATTTCGAAAATAGAAATTTCACGCTTTTAAATGTTTTTTGATTTTTTGTCTGCGATAATTTTTCACCGAGTTACGGTGTTCTGAATATTGTGCAATTTTGAGAGTGTTCTAAAATATTCCCTATTTTTTGTTGAGTAGTATATTTTAAATAGTATCAATCTAAATAATATCTTTTTAAGATAATTTTTTCAAATCGACTTTTAATTTCTATGAAATAAAATTAATATATTTAGTAGATTCAATAAAATTTATTATGAAATGATATAAATAATACTATCACATTAAATAGCTAAATCGTTAAATTACAGTGTTAAACGATCGATGTATCGTAGTCCATTTAATACCTGAAGAAACGATTTCTCTTAAAGTAAAATTTACTCCGCGAGAGATCGGCAGGTACAATAGTCAAGTGCGACTATTTATTACCGATAATCCCTATGAGAATCTAATAATTGATTTGAAGAGCGAAACGTATGCAGAATTAATTGTGTTAGATGGATTAGAGCTCACGAATACAAAGCTTAAGTCTATTAATGAAAGAAGGGAATCTAATGCAAAATCGCGAAGATCATTAAAATCAAATAGTTCAACAAGAGGTAATCAAAATTGAAAAAGAATATCAGAATAATTATAAAGAATATAATTATAGAGAATTATAATTTCTACAATTTTTTTTCATTTTTGTTTATTACTTAATCTTTTTAATAAATTTGTCAAAAATATTTATTTATTATCTATTGTAATTATTTTCAATATGAATATTAATGAATTAATTATTTTATAACAAGCAACAATATAATTTATGATACCTTTCGATCGATCTCCTATAAATTTTCTTTCAAGTACAATTTATACATTTTTCATTGCTCTGTGATTTATATCTTACAGTTTCAACACCGACAACGCTTCCGGTTTCATTGATCTATAAGCTGGATTATGGATACTGCTTTGTTAATAAAATATACAGGAAAAGCTTCAAAGTCGTTAATAAATCAATAAATCAGTATTTACGTTTTCAATGGAGCACACATCCCAACGTTGTATTTACTCCGTCAATCGGTCATCTGATACCTTTAACATGTAAAGAAATCGTTGCGACGTTTCTTTCTTCGGAGCCAACAATTTACATGGACGTAATATAAAATTATCAAATTTACTATTTGCAAACTATCGCTAATTAATATTTGCAATTTGCGTAAAATTAAAAAAATTTTTTTTTTTATATTGAAGCATATCGATAACAATTAATTAATTACATTATCGAAACTAGTATTCCAAAACGTACATAAAACATTTAACTAAAGTAATAAGAATATTTCTATATAAAAAATAAGTAAATTTTAACAAAAAAATATCAAAATAAATGATCAAATTTTGTAAATCTTCAAATAAGGTCATAGTTGCATTTCTTTGTTTGGTATTGCTGCATATTAAACTTATATAAAAATATTATTTTCTTATTAACAGACGTGTCTCGAATGTATAGTCTGTGCAATTCAGCTCGCCAATTCCGTGAAAGAATCATCATGGGACGATCGAGAGACACAGGTGCGGTGGATAACAATAAATTCCGATGCCAAGGAGCCAAATGCGGAAATAGCTAAAAAAACAGTTGAGCCTGTTAACGAGCCGGAACATGAAATCGTTCCTGGTACGACGAAGTGCATCCAAGTGTTACTTAACGCCATCGTAGCATTCTCCAAATATTCTTGCTCCGTTAAAGAGATCAATTTCAAGAACACGCTAATGTTTCAGGTTGTATACTACAATTACGAATTTTATATCTTACATTCAAATGTTAAATTAGACCATGATTACTGCGGTGTAATGGATTTTGCTATAACTATATCGATAATAATTAATATTTAAAAGGATTTCGAAATATGACACAGAAATTTTTTTTATTTAACATACAAATGTAAAATATTTCTTCAAAGTTTGCAGAAATTTGTAAAAATTATTTATAGATATTTGTAATGTTTTTAAATTAAGATAAAGCGAGGCTATTTTCATTTCTCACGATATTGTTTATGTTTCTAAGCAGTGTACACTGAACATTTAAAGCTTGCTTTCAAGAAGCAATCATGATGGTATAATAATTATAAGCACGTTACTGCAAAAATACATTGTTTGTTGCCGCAAATTTTATATTATGTTAAGCTTGAAAATGACGGAATAGCCTCGCTCTACTCTTTCAATTTTTTCAATCTGCGATAATTTCCGTAAGTAATTATTATAATATAATTATCAATTTCTCTTTTACAGCTGAAACACTCAGCTGATTATTTGATTTAATTGAAGCGAAAAAAATAGATTGTAAATAAAATCGTTCGTTCGTGTCTTTAAATATTTGTTTGTAATAACGCGGATATTTTCTAAATTGACCCATTTGCAAACAAATCACACGAACATCATGAAATTTGATTAGATGCAAACTATATTGCTGTTACTTTCATATCTGATCCAATTCCGACTTGTTTATACGAAAAATAAAGAAAAAAATCGAATTTTCACAGGCAGTGGATTATTTTATTTTTGTGTACTACTCGGTTAAAATTGATAATATATTAACCTTACGGATGGCAAAAATTGATTCTCTCGGCTTTTAATATTTTCTCTCTGCATTATATATTAGTTGTAGCGTGCATCAATCTCGATATATATATATATTTTTTTTTAATATTTAAATATCTGTAGTTGAAACAAATGTTAACATATTATTTGCACAACACTGCCCATTAAATTAAAAAAAAACGCAAAATAAAAATAATCCATTAAAATGTCAATCAAAATGTAACAGTACCAAATTATTATAAATATACCATAAATCTCTCTCTCTCTCTCTCTCTCTCTCTCTCTCTCTCTCTCTCTCTCTCTCTCCCTCTCTTTATGTTATATATAATTTTATTTTTTTCTGTACAAAGTATCCTTTCGAGATATATTTATTCATAAATTATGGTTATCTACTTATATCTACGTTTGTAAAGTTACATAGAGTAATGTTAATAATTTATTTATTCGTACTTTTTCAAACATTGTCAAAAATTTTTATATATTTTTATAAATAATAGAATTTAATCTAAATAAAATTTAACAAGAATAAAATTTTTAATATTAAATTCCCACAAACAAATTTTAATAAATTAAAACTTTATTTAAATTTTCTTGTTTTGCGTCAAATACGAAGTAGAGTCCTATAGATTTATCAGAGAAACGCGACCAGTGTTACGCATCCTGATTAGCGTGACTAGCAGCCAATCATGAGATTCATTCATTGGTATTAAAAATAAAGAATAGATTATTGGCGGATTTCAAATTCTGTCAGCAAAAGACGCCATTTTTAAAACGTTTTTTTTGGTACTTTTGCGATACTGACATAAGCCGGTCGCGCCTCTCTGATATATCTAAAACTCTAATACGAAGAAGAACGCCAACCTATCACGGTCAAAGTTAGATGCATGTTTAATTAACACGTTTCAATAAAATTAACATTTATTATATATAAAATTAACACATTCTATTAATATTACATTTATTTTAGAATTTTTAATGTACGTTATTTATATGTTATTATGTTGTTCACTTACTTATAAACTAAGAAATGTTAAATATTAATTTAATACAAAATATTTAAATAACAAAGTTATATAAATTAATACTCAAATATATTACAAATTTTTAACACAAAATTTTAACAAGGATTGACTTTAACATAAATACAAAATGTTTTTTACTATACATATAGGTGTAACGTTAACATGTAAAGAAACAAATAGCGTTTGCGCGAATTTGATTTTTACAATTTGTATTTGAAATATGACAAAATGTAATTCTTTGTCAACAGACTAGCGAACATTCGTTCATTTTTGCAAACACTGGTATTGTCGACGTCGAATATACATGGCAGATAAACATGGATGAGCAGTATCCGGTGAGATCGATCGCAAATTATTCACAAGCCACATCAAGATCACGAAAGGACAATGTTCAATTTAAAGCTACCTCATTAATGTCTTACAAACTACCTTATCAACGACACAATTCAAGCTTCGACAAGAGCGTAAAGTCGAATCGTCGACAGCTTTTGTCGTCTCGAGGTAACTTAATTTCTGTATTGATTTATAAGAAAGAAAAACGAATCATATCCGAATCATTAAAAAATAAATGTCTACAGACAATTTTATCGAGGTGAAACCAACTACTCGCTGTGGTCCATCCGATCTCTTCAGCAGCAGTGCCAGATTAACAGAACGAAGTAGCGATAGCTGGTTAGAGAGCGACGATTTACCATTTGAAATTTATCCCGAAAAAGGAATTTTACCTCCGGGTGAATCTGTGGAATGCGTCTTGAGGTTCTCTCCCATGGACATATTCGATTACAAAGCGTATCTTGTGTGCAAGTACGATTACAATTTGTTTATTTGATTTAATTTAATCATTTGATTTGATTCAATTAGTAACATAATAGAATTTGTTCTAACTTGGCTCTGTAGGAGACAAAGGGGCAAGATAAAAATGAGTATCGATATGCGTATCGATACACTAAAAATTGTTCGAAAAAATTTAGAAATTGGTTATAAATCGTCTTTGAGCCTATTTTAAACTGACTTTTTGTAAAAAAAAAATCTTTTCTTTTTTACCTAAAGCACAATTTCAAACAATTTTTAGTGTTGATATGCGTATTGCTCATCCCTACGACAAGGAGCTCTTAGAGTGCGGAGCACTCATAGACTTTTATACATTAAACCGCTAATTTCCTTACAGTACATTAATTTGTCTCCAAAAGTTACGTAGAAAGAATAGTTTTACTTTGGAAGTATCTAAAAATTTAGCTAAATTCAAATTTGAATATAAATAACTATGTTATTATGATAATGAGAACACAAATTGATTGCTAAAATGTTTGCAAAATTTTTTGCTACAATTGCTCATTATGTACTCGTATTATCTACTTAATTATTTTGAAACTGCAACAAAAATTATCATTAGATCTATGTTCAGATTTGTTTTTATTACCTATCCAAATGTTTAGATATTTTATATCATTCTTTTCGAGTATGTATTATAC